CAATAATATAATAATAATAATAATAATAATAATAATAATAATAATAATAATAATAATAATAATAATAATTTTAAGTTACGTAATTATAATTATAATAATAATAATGATATTGCAGTGAATATATTCGTTTAAAAGTGGGTGGGTGTGCGTGTGTGTGCGCGCGGGGGAGATTTAGACGAGTAGACTAAGTAATAATTATTATTTTTACACACGTGCTAATTAATTTGAATTTGCACGTGCGCGGTTGTGATAATAAAATCATGATAAAATGTACTATTTAAATTTTTTTTTTAAATAAACAGACAAACAAACAAACAAACGAAAGAAGAAACGAAGAAACGAATGATATTGCGAAATTTAAAAGTAGAAATTTTTTTATCAATCTCTTTATTATTATTATTATAATTAGTTATATTTTCTTTTTCGACGAATATATAAACAATTAAAAAAATAAAAATGTTTAAATAAATAAATAATAATAATAATAATAAAACAAAATGGGGCCGCGATTGGAAAAAAAAAAAGAAAAAAGAAAAAAAAACAAAAACGTGATAAAATTATGGAAATATTCGAGAAAAAAAAAAAAAAAATTGCCAACCTGAATGTTCGTTCAAATGCTAATAGTAAGGTCGTGACATGTTATGTTGCCCTTTCCGCGCGTGTATACCTCCCCCTTCCCCCTTCTCTCTCCTCAAACCGTGCCTCATCATCTTACAAACAAAAAAAAAGCTTTCTAAAGATATATTCCTCCCACACACACGACCGTACCGTTGAATTTTTTTTTTTTCTAATAATCATTATTGTCATTGCTTATTTTTCCATTATTATTATCATTATTATTTTTATGAGTTTCACTCGTTTCTCCATACCTTAAAAAAATAATAAAACTTCCTTCTTCATTCTTCCATATTTTTAATTAATTAATTAATTAGTTTTTTTATTCTTGTTACGAAATCAGTAATTAATTACTTATCCCTTACGGTAATAAAACAAGTGTGGCGGCCGCGGCGTCGACGACGACGACGACGTGATTTCCTTGAATTTTTTTTTTTATAACGGATTTTATAAAAAAAATTAAGCAATTAAATTTTTTGTAAAATTTTTGATTACATATTTACCTACTTCGTACGTACTCCCGCCCCCTTCCCTCCCTTCCTACCTTCAAAGAAGAGGTTAAAGGTCAAAAATCAACGATTTTTTTTTTTTTTTTGAAAGATGCATCTTTATTTTTACACACCATTCTAATAATTAAAAAGGTAAGCGTGTTAAATGACCCTCAGCAACAGGATTCAAATTTTACTAGTCAAGGTCTGTCCAAAAAAAAAAATTATTATTATTATTATTACTTGACCTCGAGTCAATAAATGACCGATCGATCGATCGATAAACCGGTGATCTAAATGATCATTATTATTATCCGTTAATAAATAAATAAATAAATTTTTTAAATTAATTAATTAATTAAATTTGTCGAATCGTAACCGGTTATCCATCCAAACAAAAAAAAAAAAAAAGAAATTTTTATTACTTCCCGCCCCGGGGATGGGGGGGCGGGAGGACCGGGTGGTACATCCACGAACTAACCAGGATTTTAAATTGACACGAGTATAAACTTTCACAATCCAATTTGAATTCACACGGTTTTAGCAAATTAATAAATAAATTTTCAA